GCACACAAGTCAGCAAAATATATAACACTGTTCTAGTGGTTTTTGGTTATTTTAATAAAAATTTTTTACATATTGTGCCTTTAAGGATTTTACGCACATCTTGCTGTTTCCTTCCAGCATTTAATGCGGTATCTCTGTATCTCAATGTTACATGCCATTTCTATGTAATTATTGTGAAATATACTAGCAAATTCTGAGTGAAAACAGTTTTTTGTTTTCAGTTTGGACAACAAAAGAGGTTAGGCAGAATATTCACAGCTTTTTTTCATACAGTAAATGCAGATCATTGACCAGAAAACACGTTAAAAGTCGCCTCTTAATCAATATGTCCCGTGTCCAATAAAAGCACTGCGATTTGAATAACGTTTGCATGTGTAAATTCGTTTCAGAGCATCAGTGCGATCCTGGACTCGGCCAGTAACGAGCTGCTGTCAGAATGTTACCGCAGATCCTTGAAGAAGATCTCCAGCCTTCCCGACTCCAACGAAGAGATCGATGACACCATCCTGACATGATGGACAGCCTCAGCTGCTCTGAATCCAGTGCTGTAGCCGCTGATGTTCTCCGAGATCCTGCATCAGTCAGTCCTACACACACACACACTCTCCTCACTAGCTTTGACTCTTCATGTCATCTACACCACAAGGAAAGCCTGGGAAAGTATATATTGTGCTGAGCCACTGAAATCATCATCTAAAAGCTGCATTTTCCTCAATTGGCTGTTAATTTGTAAATGTATATTTTTCGTTTGGTTTTCTTCTGAAAGATGAAGTATTAATTTGTGCCAATTCTTTTCCAGCACTGATGTTCTGCTGCCCTTTTATATTTCGTTTGGATGGTGAGCAGTTTCTCGCTGTTGTGATTGATTTCTCTCTGTGTGTGTGAGAGACACGTGAGCCATTAACAACCCAAAGGATGTGATGCTGATTTTTCCAGTTAGCACTGTGTCCACTAATAATGGTTGTATGAATAAATAGAAAATGAAAACTTTGATTTAATAAACGGTTTGACTTAAAGAAATTACATTTATGTTTGTTTCGTAATTCCTGCTCAACATTTCATGCATCTTCATAACACCTGATAACTCATTATTACTCCACTGAAGCATCATTCTCAAAGTATCTGGAAATGTGTATCATTATCATTCTGAAGGTGAACTATCCCTTTAAGGACAGAATCAGACTTCTAGGTTTATTGGGTGGTAAAAAGCATCAACATTTTGCTGTAACAGAGCTAGAAATATAATATAGATAGATTGCATTTATGTAAGAGTCAATGACAAATGTGACCATGGACCACAAAACCAGTCATAAGGGTCAATTTTTCTAAATTGAGATGTATACATCACCTGAAAGCTGAATAAATGTGCTTTCCATTGATGTATGGTTTGTTAGGATCGGACAATATTTGGCCGAGATACAACTATTTGAAAATCTGGAATCTGAGGGTGCAAAAAAATCTAAATATTGAGAAAATCATCTTTAAAGTTGTCCAAATGAAGTTCTTAGCAATGCATATTACTAATCAAAAATTATGTTTTGATATATTTATGGTAGGAAATGTACAAAATATCTACATGGAACATGATCTTTACTTAATATCCTAATGATTTTTGGCATAAAAGAAAAATCGGTAATTTTTACCCATACAATGTATTTTTGGCTAATGCTACAAATATACCCCAGCGACTTAAGACTGGTTTTGTGCTCCAGGGTCACAAATAAGGATGCTAGAAAACGGTGTAACCTCAAGAAAACATCTTGATATTCATGAATTAAATTTAACCCCATTAATTGAATCCTGGCTTGATTTTAACACTGTCGACTGGAGAATTCTTCACTATGTGAAATAAAATTTCAGTTTTAGTTGACAGTCTAATTTTGCATAAATAAATGCCTTGGATCAAAACGTTTTTAAAATCAGTCAAGTGTGTCCAGGTTGTTTTGTACCTAAAACTACATTTATTACTGAAGAAAGAATAAGTGTGTAAGAAATAAGAATAGACAAAGGGGTTATTACACTAACAAAAGAGTTTCCATCATCATAGGGCCACGGATCTGAAGTCTTCATTGAAAGCTTTGAAGGTTTCAGCAGTGATCAGACACATCTGCAGTTTTAGTGCATCGCAAACCCGTCTGTGTGTCATTACTGAGCCCACAGGCAACATAATTCATCTTCAGCTGATCCGGAGGGAATCAAATCTGCAGTTTTCTGGCAGATTCTCAAAGTTCAGACGGCTTTGGAAAGTTGCACAGTTTTCTGGCTCTCACTGAGAAACTACTGAGATGTCATGAAAACATTTCTTTGTTGGCACGAAGGAAGAAAAATCTGACATTGTTTAAAAACGTACTATGGTGGTAACCGTGGTACAGTATGAGATGGTAATCCTGCCAAATGTGCCAATAGTACATGGCACTAAAGATTACTATGTTAAAATATCATGGTAATTACAGAGTATTTAAAAAAAAAAAAAACTATTAGACAAAATCGTGACCAAAAAAATTACTTTTTTGTAAGTGTAACACCCCCATTTGTAAAGCATTCAATACGTTTCCATCATGAATTGTAATATTATTATTATATTTTATTCTTACCAAATTTATTGTTTTTGCCTTTAAAGCAGTTTATATGGAAAATGTGTTTTTTTTTATTCAAAGTATATTCTGTGGTAAAAAAAAAAAAGTGTTAACATTTTGTTGCATTGACGCAAAAAAATGTACATAGATTGAATTTATATAAGTATAAATGGCAAATAAAGATGCAACAAATTGAGTAATCTAAAAAACAATTTAATATTCATGAATTAAACGAAGAAAATGGAATGCATCCCTCCTTACATCAGAGATGCACAGAATCTATTTACTTCTAAATCTAATTTAAAAACTCATTTTTTTTAGGCTAGCTTTTTCTTGATTATTATAAATTGTATGTCTTAGTCTTCTTTTCATTTGTTTTGTTCTGTATGTTGTTGTCATTTTTGTGTGTTTGTTTTTATTATGCAAAATGCATTGAGAAGCTGCTTTAAAGGTGCTATAAAAATAAAGTTATATGGTATTTGAAAAGAAAAGTGAACATTTTTTGAAAATGATTAGGTTGTGTACTGTTATATTATAGTGTACATTCATTGAAGGTGTAAAGTATTATTATTAAGTGGTGTTATTAGTAATTATGTTGTTGTTGCTGCATAAAATGGTAAACTTTTTTCAAGAGAAAAACTACGTTGCACTTTTATTAATATTTTTTTTTTTATAATATTCGATATCCTATTTGTCATTGACCTATTTTATTATTTTTTTTTTTATAATTTAATTGATGTGCCGCCATTGACCCATATACAGCAAATACATGCGTCCTCGCGACGCGGGCTTGTTGACGGCTGTTACGTCATATGGCGTCGGCGCGCTCTGATTGGTCCTCAGCCGCGCGTGTAGCAGGAGGAAGCGCCGTTTCCGGTAATGAGCGACTGACTGCTGACACCGTCAAACCCCGACGACAAGCCCGCTGCTTTCGGCATCTACCGGGTGAAATTGTCCGCTCTCATCCGGGCGGGACGTCAGACGGGTTCCAGCCAAGCGCTCGGCTGGAGAGAGGCGTGAAGCTGCAGCGAAGCCGCGGGGTTTGAGCCTCCCACCGCCGGCATGGCCCGCGACTACGATCACCTCTTCAAACTGCTGATCATCGGTGACAGCGGTAAGAGACGCCGCGGATGCGTGACGGGAAGCGGGCCGGGGCGAGGCTCTGCGGGGCTCTGAGTGTCTCGTATTAAAGCTGTGAGCTCTGAGAGGCCGTAAATGAACGCAGGTCTGGTTTAACGCACACACGAGCGTGTTTCTGTCGCTGTGCCGCTGCTTTACGGCTGATCGCTTCACTCAGACCGGAGATCCAGAGACTGATCTGCTGCTCATCAATCCTGCTCTCTCTGTGCATCATTTATTCAGGACTAGAGCAGAAGTGTATTGATTTGAGGGACTCCAGAAAGTATTTGAGCACTTCATATGTGTCTGAATATCACTGCATTATGAAACCGAATGTAAAAGCAAGTGTGATTTGTTGAAAATATAAACACTTTACAGTCAAAACATTTGAAATACTTTGTTTAAAATGATCTTTGTTGAAAATGAAGATGGTGTTATTGAGACTCTTAATGGAATATGCTGATAGTGCATGTGATTCTCGACCCCTGAGAATGCATCTCTATACACAAATAAACAGCTGAAGCTGGAGGAAAAAAAAGAAATGCTCTTGCAGTATTTGAGATGCACAGATACAGATCTAATAAATGACATTCAGACACATTAAGTGTCGCTTAAGTGAACGGGTACTTTTGTTACTTAAATGATATGTGAAAGTTCACAGGGCGAACAGATGCCTGTACCTGTAAATGAACTGATCAGAAACTGAAATCTGGATATTTCAAGTGTTGGTAAGTGCTGATTTTGATGCAGAAAACGCTTTGTTTGTGCTGTTTTATTGTCAGATGGTTAAAGTTGAGCCTCGTGTGTTCAGGTCTGAGTAAAGGAGATCTAGCGTTTGCACAAAAGCAGAGGTGAGAGTGTCCTGTTGTCATGGGGTGGTTAACCATGAGACACATCACAGCGTGCGGTCCTTGTGGTTTGAGTTTTGCACCTTCTCGTGTGAAGCAGACGACTCAAATGAGCTCAATCAAACAGTTTGGATGAACTGTATATTATTAAAATGTATCATTGGGTTGAATTCTGAATTTCTGGTTTGTAGTTGGAATCAAAGAATACTAAAATAATCAATTTATATATCTACACTTCATATTTAGTGTGATTATATAATATACTGTGTATATATATATATATATATATATATATACACACACACAACAGTTAATTTAAATATATCTTTAGAATCATTGTCCATACATGACATGAGTGATGGCACGCTGGCACTGACCCGTCTGCTGTGGGCTACAGTAGATGGACACACAAGCCTCAGTGTTTCTGTGCTCTGAGGGCTTTTATTTGGCCTCTGGTTGAATTCTGAACTCTAATGAAGTGACCTGATGATACTGTACAGATCTGTGGTCTGTGATGAAAGAAAATCTGCTGGATTCTTTGTCCCGCATGCAGGGACAGGCTTGCTTTCGACACTGGTTGTCTGGGATGTAATATAGATTTCAGTTATAAGCTGAGCATTCAGTCTGTTTTCTGGCGGCTGGACTTGTTCGGTTATGTGATCTTTTTGAGAGACTTGAGAGACTGATTGATATGAATGTCTGTCTTCAGAATCAAAATGCGGCTTGTCCACTGCTAGTAAGTCCTATAATAGAATTAATGATATGATCCATGTTCTTCAGTAAGCAGGTTATACTCCACAGGAATCAAGTGATTTGATGCGTTTCTATAGTCCTTCTCGGAGTAAATCATGTCAGCTCTTTTATCCTGTGCGTTAGTGGTGTCATTTGTCAGGAGAGGGTGTTTGCTTGGTTTATCTTCTTTTCTGAGAGTCAGCGGTCATAGTCTCAGACGGTACGCCTACAGACCGTTCATGAACTGACAGATTCATATTCCACAGTAAAATCTCACCGATACCGCCTGCTCCAATCTGATTGGCTGACTTGCTGTTTTGAATTACCTGCAAACCCATGAGAGCTGAAGAAAGTGACATGGTCATTGGCAGACAGCCTCTTTCGGTCTAAACTTACAATAATCTGCAGTATCTGACGACATATAAGGAAAGGCTCCCAGCAAGGACAGCATGTTTCTCAGATTTTAGGATTTGTCTCTCAGCAGTGACTCTGAAAGCTGTGTGAGAAACCACATGGTGAACGTTAATGGTGAGCAGGCGTTAGTCTAGAGAGGTTTCGTCTGGGTTTGCTGGAGCCAGTATTTATCACATTCAGCTGAAATCTGCTGCATCATATGTTGCATGGTTTTTCCTCATTCTTTGGTTTTGTTTGCTGTTTGTCGTTCCAGGTGTTGGAAAGAGCAGTCTTCTCCTGCGCTTTGCAGACAACACTTTTTCAGGTAAGATGCATGAACATGTCCAGCGTCATCTGTCTGATTTATTAT